GTGTTAAACTGTTCAGCAGAAGTAACCATAAGTGAGAGTGGTAATAAGACCTGTGAGTTTCACTTTGTCTGTTTTGTTCATGAAGAAGAATCCAATAAAGATTCTTCAAAACTGCCACCTGGTGGTGAAGTCTTGAACTACAACATGAGCTACACCTCTCTCTGTAGATGAGGTGTCATGCTACAATATTGTGCTTAACACATGTGCACTGTTACAAAGAACTTGTAAGATTTACTAGAAAAAAATCCTCGTAACAATTTGCTCTAATATTGGTCAAATAAGTTTAAATGTTACAAATTCATGTAATATTTACTCATCGTTATCTAGTAAAAGTTATTAAGAATATAGTTAAAGATTTGTGAATAAATCAGGTAAATTTTACTTAATTTGATCAAGTATATGTTACAAGATTTAATTGAGCAAATTAATTCAAATTTACCTGATTTATTCACAAATCTTTAAATATATTCTGAATAACTTTTACTAGATAATGATGAGAGTAAATATTACATGAATTTGTAGCATTTAAATTTACTTAACAAACGTTAGTGCAAATCATTTACAGGATTTTTTCTAGTAAATCTTACAAGTTACTTTTTACAGTGTAGAAAAAGGAGACAGAAGAAATAAATGTACAAACTTTTTTTGTTGGAAATCTTAAAATCCCTTTGAGTTGTTTGAAAAAGAAGTGAAAACAGAACATTTTTACTTTAGCCATTAGTTTATTGCTCTGAGGGAAAAACAAAATTGTGTTTTGCCAAACTACAAAGTGTTACATCAATCCTTGAAGTCTTCTTTGCTAAATAAATGATGGATTATGTCTCTGTATTATCAGTCAGTGAAATGGCAGTAGTTTAAGCATACTAAGTGACTTTCTGATTTATTAATGATTGCTGTGGATGATTACAGTATCTGACCTCAGGATTTTTGTCATCTCCCCTCCATCTTCTCTTGTTTCCCTCTCCATCCGTCTTGCTCCTTGTCATTTCCCTGCTCCTCTCTGTCTCTCTCTCTTTCCCCCTCTTCACCTCCAAATCTCCTCCTTTCCACCTCAGGGCAAGTGTTCCTCGAAATGCTACAACATGTTCATCATAGAGACGGTGTGTGTGGCCTGGTTCTCTCTGGAGTTCCTTCTGCGCTTCATCCAGGCTCGCAGCAAACTGGATTTCCTCCGCGGGCCACTTAATATCATCGACGCCATGGCTATCCTGCCCTACTACGTTTCGCTGGTGGTGACGGAGGAGGATCCGGCTTCGGAGCACGAGAGGCCGGGAGGGGGTAAGGGTTACTTGGACAAACTGGGCCTGGTGCTGAGGATCCTGCGGGCGTTGAGGATTCTCTACGTGATGAGGCTGGCTCGCCACTCCCTCGGCCTGCAGACGCTGGGGCTGACGGTCCGACGCAGCACCCGCGAGTTTGGGCTTCTCTTGCTCTTCCTCTGTGTGGCTGTGACCCTTTTTTCCCCTCTGGTCCACCTCGCTGAGAGCGAGCTCACAGGTCCTCATGACTTCTCCAGCATCCCCGCTTCCTATTGGTGGGCCATCATCTCCATGACCACCGTGGGCTACGGTGACATGGTGCCGAGGTCCATCCCGGGACAGGTGGTAGCGCTGAGCAGCATTCTCAGCGGGATCCTCATCATGGCCTTCCCCGCCACCTCCATCTTCCACATGTTCTCCCGCTCCTACCAAGAGCTCAAGATGGAGCACGATCGACTGTTCAAAGAGGAGTGCGCGGCCGCCGCAGCCGCCGCCGCCGCCGCGGCGGGAGACGGGCAGGAGGCTGAGGGGGAAGAGAAGAAGGAGGAYGTACCTCAGTGCGGCCCGGGGTCACATCCGGACAAGAACGGCGAGCACACGCTGGAATCTCTGGCTCTGCTCGACGAGGGCGACAAAGCTGCAGGAAATAACAACCACAGTCTTCCAGCTGCAGCTTTCTGAAACTTCCAGATGAGTTCATTAATCTTTGTGTTGCATGAAATCAAAGAACTGCAACGGTACTGATGCCTCAAAGGCCTAATTATTCATTAATGAGGGTGTCTGCATTATTTTGAATACAAAAGGGGTTTTTTTTGTCTCCAAGGTGATAAGAAACTGAAGGACGAACAGCCCTTTAAAATGGACAGTCCTCTTTGTCTGACCAGAAGGCCTTTGCAGCAACATTAATAGCAGGCTGCTTCCATAAACACGCACTATCAAATCCAAAGTTGCTTTTCCTTCCACTGTGAAAATACTTACAAAACTTTTAGAATATTGTTTGTTTGTTTCTGACATGCTGCCTATAGAGTATGATCTCGAAACGTGTCTCATACTACGTACTCGATGTTTCTGCCATGAATGCAAAGAAGTGCACATCTTAATTTATATTCAAGAAGCTTAAAGCCATGTTCCGGGAAAAATATCAATAAACTGATAGTTGAGTTCATATAATATTATATACCCATTTCTCTCTTGTTTGAATGCCTGAACTTTAAAGAAAATTATTTTTCAAGTCTCTGATATGAATTATAAGTAAACCGTTTTAACTTATGCAGGATGGCCTCTCCTTTTTTTTAATCGATGAGAAGATACACTGCAAAAACTGTCAATTTACCAAGTTTTAAGATCTTATATTCAGCCAAAAAGTCTTTTTGATCTTGTTTTGAGACTGATTTACTAAACAAGAACTGATTGTGTAAGAATAATAATCTTGTTTTCAGAATGTGTAAGATTATTTGTCTTGTTAGCCTGAAAATTTGACTCAAATTAAGTCAAAAATTTCTGCCAATGAAGTAAGAAAAATTTTACTTTGTAAGATTCTTGAAATAAGAAAAAACTGAGTCAAAACAAGTATTTCAAGAATCTTACCAAGTAAAACTTTCTTACTCCATTGGCAGAAATTTTTGACTTAATTTGAGTCAAATTTTCAGACTAACAAGACAAATAATCTTACACATTCTGAAAACAAGATTATTATTCTTACACAATCAGTTCTTGTTTAGTAAATCAGTCTCAAAACAAGATCAAAAAGACTTTTTGGCTGGATATAAGATTTTAAAACTTGGTTAGGTGGACATTTTTTTGCAGTGTAAAAGGTGGAAAAAATGGGATATTTGTTCAAGAGAGAGTGAGAATGAGCTCTAAGAACCATGAGATGTATTTTGCAGCGCTCCAAATAAAAGCTGTCCTTGTAATCTGAGAGAAATCCGTTTTCTGGGCTGTAGTTTGTATTTTTATTATTGTTTTTTTCTAGTTTGTTCAGGGTTTGAYGGTCTAATCTGCTTGGCTCACTGTGGATGCTCAGCCAGAGTCCTGCTGCTGAAATCTGCTGAGAGAGGAAGAAACGGAAACAGCTGTCTCAGACCAGACACTATTCTGTGAATCCAGTGGCAATCCCTTTTCTTACATCATCCTCGGGTTTTTTTTTTTAATGAGCAAAGCCAGCTCAGGCTGGAAGGGATCTTTCTTTTTTTTTTTTTTAATCTGTGCTTTAAAGACAACACATCCAGACCTCCTCATTAATGTTGTATTCATGGGAAATAAATAGATCCTTCCTTGTTTCCGTCCTAAGGTAACCTTCACGGATCTGATTCATTTGCATATTTTTGAAGTGAGTGGGGGCGAAGATCATTGTGTGAGGAGCTGTAGACAGGCCAGATGATGATGTAATCTAGATTAAAACTGGGATTAAAACCCACACATACCCAGGCTACTGTCTGCAGCTCCGCCTCATCATGGTTGCTTCACAATTAGAGTGTCTCCAGTCCAAACAGTCAGCTGTGCTGCATCTAATTTCCTCTGACTGATTCTCTGATGGGATTTGTGTGCACACTGGATATCTGCTGCACCAACACACACGRCCAAGACTAGTCTGAACAAAATATGATGGATTACAAAAACTGAGGTTTTTAATTCTCTGTAATGGTTGAAGTACAACATATTTTATCAGGCTTTATTATAACTCATAGAGCATGATGCTGAAGCAGTTAGAGACAAATACGCTTTAGAAATGCGCTCTTGAGAGGCTATAAATATGCTTTTAGCTGCTCAATAATGGTTGGATGAACTTTTCAGCTTTAATTAAAAAAAAAATCACCAGTCCTCACCCAGCATGAGATCAGTCAGATATAAAAAATACAATTTGCAAGGAAAGCTTTAGTTAAAACCTGGTTTTGCAAAACTGTAAAAAAAAAAAGTATGTTCACTAGCATTTGTTTGCTTTATTTTCTTAATTTCTTATGTGTTTAATTTAATCAGAAATTATTTAAATAAGATTTGGACTATTAAAAGTTAAAATTTAAACTTTAAACTTGTACATTTCTAAGCTTCTCTGTTATAAAATTCACTGTATTTGTACTGAAATTCCTCAAACTGCAGTGTTTGGAGAAAAAAACTGGTTTGACATTTTAAAGGTAAATGAGATCATATTTAAGCTATTAAGCCATGTAATTGATTTTTCCTGGACAAAAAAAAATGCTTGTTTATAAATTATACATTTTATTTCAAGCAGGAAAAGCCAGTGGATGTTTTTTTTTTTTTTACTTTAAGTAAAACCAGATAAATAATGCCTGTGTTGATTAAGATTGATGATGAAACGTGCAATAAATTAAGCCATTTCGCACAGATTCATTTGTTTCCTTCTTGCCATAATTCACTTTCCCCTCACTTTTTCAAGTACAGACACTCCTGTACAACCAGCAGGAGAATAGGATGTTTGTGGAAATCATTGGGATGGATCCCTTGTTTCTTCTCTCCCTGTTAGGATTTTGTCAGCAGGTTCATCACATCTAGTGTTGCTGCTGAAGACATCTGCATTGCACCTCCACAACACAAACTGCACACTTCTTAGGACTTCAAGACCAGAGTAAAGGCTTTTGTTTTTTCACCCTCTGCCATAATTTCCATGACTGCTCGACTGAAAACACAACAAATGAGTCATTATTCACTGCACAACATTATTACACATAATACATTTCACATGTAACTTGTTCTAAACTTTGAATAAACAGATTCATCMAAAGTTTTCAAAGGCATGTGTCTTGTTTTCCCTCTCTTGCCTCCACATGCAGACCACCGCTCTCTCTCACACACCTACTCACATTTGAAGGGGCCGTTCAGAYGCCTGTGTTTCTTGTTCATTGACAGTTTATAGGCTGAAGAGGTCACATAATGAATTCTTGTTTTTTTTTATGAAGTGGGCGTTGGGGAGCCCTTTGAGACTGAAACTGTGATTAACAAGGCTGCAGGAAGAAACTTGCAAATGTGCATTCCTCGCTGTTGGTAAAATTAGGAGCGAGGCGTAGAGAGCTGGTGCTGCAAAGCGCGGGATGTTCACAGGGAGTAGAAAAGGTCATGGATGAAACTCAGCAGCTATGTTGAGACAAAATGGGACATTTTACTTCAGTTAAAAACATTAAAATGTCGATTTTTATGATATTTGTTCGCATGTTTTCACTTGCAGCTCATTCGGTTTATGGAGGTGTTTTCAAAAGCAACACGATCCCATCGTTTGTAGAGAAAAAACAGGTTTTTAATGAACAAATTCTTGCTTTCTGCAGCATCAGAATGAGYAAAGATAAGAAAGTATTTATGCTTAACTTTTAATTGAGTTGTGATTGTTCCCACAGTGCATTTTGTCTGATTGTCACCTGTCATCTAAGGTAAAGGATGATGTTTTTGTCTGTGTCCATTTACCATTAGCAAACTTTATCACAAACCACAGACATAGTGTGAAAGCTAGCATCTATATGTTTTTATTTAATAACTTTTAAAACTATACTACAACTTTGCCTTTTCTCAATAGAAGATGAAGGGAGGGAAAAATGTATATTTTCCTCTTAGATGAGCCAGAAAATAAGTGATCAATTACCAGTCTTTGTTCCACATTTACAGACACTAGGGGCTTTTATTTTGAAAACTAGAGWACCAGAGGATTTCCTCCAGTTCTTGCTTTTAGTTTGACACCCTTGAAAAAAAACATGTTGAAAGGCTTTTAMGAAATTTCGGGGCAACTGTTAAAGGGTTTAAAAAGCTCATCTTCTCTTTGCAACATCAGCATAATGAAGATTACCGAAATCACAAACAAACAGAAACTAAACACCACAAAAAAGCACAGCTTCCTGTTTTTCTTTTTGCATCTCAGAGCTTCTGAGACATTTTTTCCTGCTTTGAAGTGTATTCTTAATGATATGCTGATTTTGACAAAGTAAGAAATAAATTGACCTTTGTGTTCTCAAGGTTAACTTGCTGTATTAATACAAAAAAACAGATTCCCAGCAGAAAAATACAGTAACTTTTATGTCACTTCTAAATTCCAAGTCACAGCCTAAATACAAGTCTGCTTCTCAAAGACATCACAGGAAACAGATTATTGTCCAGAGATTTGAAAACTTTACCTTTTTTACCTCAACAGTAATGAAACAAAACTCAGTTTATTGCACCATCCTTCAGAACACAGCTGTATTTTTCCAGCTAAATCTCTGGAAATAAATGACAAAACCTCACCGAAAACCTCTCATCATGAATATATATATA